CTTATATATGTAGAAGATGGTTGGACGTTGTCTTATATATGTAGAAGATGGTTGGACGTTGTCTTATATATGTAGAAGATGGTTGGACGTTGTCTTATATATGTAGAAGATGGTTGGACGTTGTCTTATATATGTAGAAGATGGTTGGACGTTGTCTTATATATGTAGAAGATGGTTGGACGTTGTCTTATATATGTAGAAGATGGTTGGACGTTGTCTTATATATGTAGAAGATGGTTGGACGTTGTCTTATATATGTAGAAGATGGTTGGACGTTGTCTTATATATGTAGAAGATGGTTGGACGTTGTCTTATATATGTAGAAGATGGTTGGACGTTGTCTTATATATGTAGAAGATGGTTGGACGTTGTCTTATATATGTAGAAGATGGTTGGACGTTGTCTTATATATGTAGAAGATGGTTGGACGTTGTCTTATATATGTAGAAGATGGTTGGACGTTGTCTTATATATGTAGAAGATGGTTGGACGTTGTCTTATATATGTAGAAGATGGTTGGACGTTGTCTTATATATGTAGAAGATGGTTGGACGTTGTCTTATATATGTAGAAGATGGTTGGACGTTGTCTTATATATGTAGAAGATGGTTGGACGTTGTCTTATATATGTAGAAGATGGTTGGACGTTGTCTTATATATGTAGAAGATGGTTGGACGTTGTCTTATATATGTAGAAGATGGTTGGACGTTGTCTTATATATGTAGAAGATGGTTGGACGTTGTCTTATATATGTAGAAGATGGTTGGACGTTGTCTTATATATGTAGAAGATGGTTGGACGTTGTCTTATATATGTAGAAGATGGTTGGACGTTGTCTTATATATGTAGAAGATGGTTGGACGTTGTCTTATATATGTAGAAGATGGTTGGACGTTGTCTTATATATGTAGAAGATGGTTGGACGTTGTCTTATATATGTAGAAGATGGTTGGACGTTGTCTTATATATGTAGAAGATGGTTGGACGTTGTCTTATATATGTAGAAGATGGTTGGACGTTGTCTTATATATGTAGAAGATGGTTGGACGTTGTCTTATATATGTAGAAGATGGTTGGACGTTGTCTTATATATGTAGAAGATGGTTGGACGTTGTCTTATATATGTAGAAGATGGTTGGACGTTGTCTTATATATGTAGAAGATGGTTGGACGTTGTCTTATATATGTAGAAGATGGTTGGACGTTGTCTTATATATGTAGAAGATGGTTGGACGTTGTCTTATATATGTAGAAGATGGTTGGACGTTGTCTTATATATGTAGAAGATGGTTGGACGTTGTCTTATATATGTAGAAGATGGTTGGACGTTGTCTTATATATGTAGAAGATGGTTGGACGTTGTCTTATATATGTAGAAGATGGTTGGACGTTGTCTAATATATGCAGAAGATGGTTGGACGTTGTCTTATATATGTAGAAGATGGTTGGACGTTGTTTAATATATGAAGAATATGGTTGGACGTTGTTTTATATATGTAGAAGATTGTTGGACGTTGTTTAATATATGCAGAAGATGGTTGGACGTTGTCTTAGTTGGACGTTGTCTTATATATGTAGAAGATGGTTGTACGTTGTCTTATATATGTAGAAGATGGTTGGACGTTGTTTTACAAATGTAGAAGATGGTTGGACGTTGTTTTATATATGAAGAATATGGTTGGACGTTATCTTATATATGTAGAAGATGGTTGGACGTTGTTTAATATATGCAGAAGATGGTTGGACGTTGTTTTATATATGTAGAAGATTGTTGGACGTTGTTTAATATATGCAGAAGATGGTTGTACGTTGTCTTATATATGTAGAAGATGGTTGGACGTTGTCTTATATATGTAGAAGATGGTTGTACGTTGTCTTATATATGTAGAAGATGGTTGGACGTTGTTTTACAAATGTAGAAGATGGTTGGACGTTGTTTTATATATGTAGAAGATTGTTGGGCGTTGTTTTATATATGTAGAAGATGGTTGGACGATGTTTTATATATGTAGAAGATGGTTGGACGTTGTCTTATATATGTAGAAGATGGTTGAACATTGTTTTATATATGTAGAATATGGTTGAACGTTGTTTTATATATGTAGAAGATGGTTGTACGTTGTCTTATATATGTAGAAGATGGTTGGACGTTGTCTTATATATGCAGAAGATGGTTGGACGTTGTTTTATATATGAAGAATATGGTTGGACGTTATCTTATATATGTAGAAGATGCTTGGACGTTGTCTTATATATGTAGAAGATGGTTGGACGTTGTTTTATATATGAAGAATATGGTTGGACGTTGTTTTATATATGTAGAAGATGGTTGGGCGTTGTTTTTTTATATCTAGAAGATGGTTGGACGTTGTTTTATATATGTAGAAGATTGTTGGACGTTGTTTTATATATGTAGAAGATGGTTGGACGTTGTTTTACAAATGTAGAAGATGGTTGGACGTTGTTTTATATATGTAGAAGATGGTTGATCTTTGTTTAACATATATGTAGAAGATGGTTTGGCTTTGTTTAACATATATGTGAGCTTTTCTTTGGAGCTGTTTAAGAAATGTATGCTATTGTTGAACGCCGACAGATATATATAGGCGATTATATGCCGCTGTTATATTCACGGTGTTGATTCAATGGTAGGGCGTTGTTTTGTTGTGTGTAAACGACGGTTTGACGTAGGTTTAAGTGTGAATGAGATGGTTGGGCGTTGTTTCATTTGTTTATGTGATAGTTAGGCGTCGTTATATATATTGGACGTGCGTTGTTTTATGTGTGTAGGCGATGGTAAGGCGTTGTTTTGTGTGTGTATACGATATTAGAGTTGTATTTCATGTGTTTGTGATGATCGGGTTTTGTTCTTTCTGTATTTGTGGTATTTTGTGCATTGTTTTCTGTGTCAAGGCGAAGTTACGGCGTTCGTTTTTATTTGTATATGGTGGTTATGCGTTGTTTTATGTGTATATACGGTGATTGGATGTTGTTTTAAATGTGTAGGTGGTGGCTGGGCGTTGCTCTTATGTGTAGGTGATAGTTTGGTTTTGTGTTATACAGCATTTGTGTAGATATCTGTTGTTTTATATGTGTACAGGTAGCGGTTGGGCGGTATCAACTGTGTGATGTTAGTTTGATTATGAAGGTGGCGGTTAGACGTTTGTGTTGAATGTGTCTATAGTGTTTGGTTGTTGTTTTCTATATGTAAGTGATGGTTAAACGCTGTTTTACACGCTTAGGGCCTCGACGAAAGCTGGGTCCACGTCCCGAGGCTGGGAACCTTGACCCTTTGTGCGTATATAATCATTTCGGGGATATGATCGTCGCGCACTGGTTGTTAACGTAGCAGAAGGCTTTCACAGTAGCTCCAATTTGAGCCAACCTGTTTGCCGTGGGATGCGCTTCGTATTCCTTGGGGAAGGAGAACCTGGTGGTTTAGCAGGGATTGAAATCATTGACGAACTCTGGATAGGAGGGAGACATGATCCGACATTCTGCAACATATTGGGATTGAACGGCGGTTTTTTTAATTTTCATGCCGGTATGACCGCAAATTGGTTATATCTATATTTAATAAGGATGCAACCGATTTGCAAACAGGTTGGCTCAAATTGGAGCCACTGTGAATGCCTTCTGGTACGTTGACACCCAGTGCGCGACGAGCATACCCCCGAAATGATCATATACGCACGGGGTGGGCGGGGGACACGAACTCAACATAAAGTTGAATGACATAACTGAATTTAACATATCTGATGTTCCTCCATGGACCATACACACACCTGATTTTAACTTTACATTACATGAGCGAGGGAAATCCAGTGTAACGCCCGAAGAACACAAATCCTCGTTTCGGGAATGCATTTCGAATTTCGAATTACCCTTCTCATACACAACTTTACACCGATGGTTCCAAAGAAGTTGAGAACGTGACAGCAGCCTGCTGTTCTGCTAATTCTTGCACTTCAGTTCGACTACCAGACGACGCCTCCATCTTTTATGTCGAAGCATGGCCCTCGACCATATCGATGAACATCGCATTAAAAAGGCAATCAATTGTTAAGACTCTTTATCTTTCCTACAAACTTTAAAGTTACGAGATCCTAAAAACACACTCGTCCAAAACCTTACTTTTCGCATATCTTGTATTTTAAAGAAATCTCAAATTACTTTACTGTGGATTCCGAGTCATGTCGGAGTTAAAGGCAACGAATTTGTTGCAAAGAGGCAAAGAATGCGTTAAATCTTTAACAAACAAATACAACATTACCATATACAGATTATAAACCTATTATTCGTACAGCAATTCCAAATGAATGGCAGCAACACTGGTCTACCGAGACCAGCGACAAAGTACAACCGAAACAAGAGAGGAGTTTGTTCTATCTTGGCTCCGCACTGGGCACACATATCCTACTCATTCGTACCTTTTTAAACGAGAAAATCCACCTACATGCCACGCATGCGACACTCCATTACAGTGGAACATTTTTAAATAGAATGTTCCGATTTTAAACACATTCGTGATAATTATTTTCGAGTCCCGGATATGAAAACTCTTTTCAGTTCGGTGGACTCATTATTTTAACTATTTGAAAGACATCGACTCTTCTATAGACTCTGATGTCTTTTAACCCACTTTTCCCTCTTTGACGTTATATATATATATCACATATTCCACAAAATCTATTCATTATCTCTTTTATTATTTTAACCCCATTTTATTTTAATTATTTACACATACAATGCGAATGCTTTTAAAAATATTGATTTTGTATCTGTTTTATCTGCGCTACTCACGTTTGTTTAAAAATTAAATAACAAAAATAATGATTTTTATCTGATTTAATCTTCGCTACGTTTGTTTAAAAACACATATATCACCATGTAAATGACCACAGTTGAGGATGAGCCGTTAAACACAAACAAACAAACAAATTATACGCTTAGCTGTAGTTGGACGTTGTAAATGTGTTCTGATGGTTTGACATTTAGTTCAATGTGAACGCAACAGTTTGACATTGTCTGTTTGGTGGGAGGTAGTTTGACATTGTCTGTTTGGTGGGAGGTAGTTTGACATGGTCTGTTTGGTGGGAGGTAGTTTGACATTGTCTGTTTGGTGGGAGGTAGTTTGAAATTGTCTATTTGGTGGGAGGTAGTTTGACATTGTCCGTTTGGCGGGAGGTAGTTTGACATTGTCTGTTTGGTGGGAGGTAGTTTGACATTGTCTGTTTGGTGGGAGGTAGTTTGGCATTATCTGTTTGGTGGGAGGTAGTTTGGCCTTGTCTGTTTGGTGGGGGTAGTTTGACATTGTCTGTTTAGTGGGAAGGAGTTTGGCAATGTCTGTTTGCTGGGAGGTAGTTTGACATTGTCTATTTGGTGGGTGGTGGTTTGACATTGTCTGTTTGGTGGGAGGTAGTTTGACATTGTCTGTTTGGTAGAGGTAGTTTGACATTGCCTGTTTGGTGGGAGGTAGTTTGGCAATGTCTGTTTGGTGGGTGGTAATTTGACATTGTCTGTTTGGTAGGAGGTGGTTTGACATTGCCTGTTTGGTGGGAGGTAGTTTGACATTGTCTGTTTGGTGGGAGGTAGTTTGACATTGTCTGTTTGGTGGGAGGTAGTTTGACACTGTCTGTTTAATTGGAGGTAGTTTGATATTGTCTGTTTGTTGGGAGGTAGTTTGACATTGTTCGTTTGTTGGGAGGAAGTTTGGCCTTGTCTGTTTCGTGGGAGGTAGTTTGGCCTTGTCTGTTTGGTGAGTGGTAGTTTGACATTGTCCGTTTGGTGGGAGGTAGTTTGACATTGTCTGTTTGGTGGGAGGTAATTTGGCAATGACTGTTTGGTGGGAGGTAGTTTGGCATTGTCTGTTTGGTGGGAGGTAGTTTGGCCTTTTCTGTTTTGCGGAAGTAGTTTGACATTGTCTGTTTGGTAGGATGTAGTCTGGCCTTGTCTGTTTGGTGGGAGGTAGTTTGGCCTTGTCTGTTTGGTAGGAGGTAGTTTGACATTGTCCGTTTGGTGAGAGGTAGTTTGACATTGTCTGTTTGGTGGGAGGTAGTTTGACATTGTCCCTTTTGTAGGAGGTAGTTTGACATTGTCCGTTTGGTCGGAGGTAGTTTGACATTATCTGTTTTGTGGGAGGTAGTTTGACATTGTCTGTTTTGTGGGAGGTAGTTTGACATTGTCTGTTTGGTGGGAGGTAGTTTGACATTGTCTGTTTGGTGGGAGGTAGTTTGATATTGACCGTTTGGTGGGAAGTAGTTTGACATTGTCCGTTTGGTGGGAGGTAGTTTGACATTGTCTGTTTGGTGGGAGATAGTTTGACATTGTCTGTTTGGTGGGAGGTAGTTTGACATTGTCTGTTTGGTGGGAGATAGTTTGACATTGTCTGTTTGGTGGGAGGTAGTTTGCCCTTGTCTGTTTGTTGGGAGGTAGTTTGACATTGTCTGTTTGTAGGGAGGTAGTTTGACATTGTCTGTTTGGTGGGAGGTAGTTTGACATTGTCTGTTTGGTGGGAGTTAGTCTGGCATTGTCTGTTTGGTGGGAAGTAGTTTGACATTGTCTGTTTGGTGGGAGGTAGTTTGACATTGTCTGTTTGGTAGGAGGTAGTTTGACATTGTCTGTTTGTTGGGAGGTCGTTTGGCATTGTCTGTTTGGTTGCAGTTAGTTTGACATTGTCTGTTTGGTGGGAGGTAGTTTGACATTGTCTATTTGGTGGGAGGTAGTTTGACATTGTCCGTTTGTTGGGAGGTCGTTTGGCATTGTCTGGTTGGTTGCAGTTAGTTTGACATTGTCTGTTTGGTGGGAGGTAGTTTGGCATTGTCTGTTTTGTGGAAGGTAGTTTGGCATTGTCTGTTTTGTGGGAGGTAGTTTGACATTGTCTGTTTAATGGGAGGTAGTTTGACATTGTCTGTTTTGTGGGAGGTAGTTTGGCATTGTCTGTTTGGTGGGAGGTAGTTTGGCCTTGTCTGTTTGGTGGTAGGTAGTTTGAAATTGCCTGTTTGGTGGGAGGTACATGTAGTTTGACCTTCGTTTAGATTTTAACAATGAGTAAATTTTTGCTACATGTCGGTGATGGTTTCACTTTGTAGTTGGTGGTTAGACTAACGATATACATGTATATATACGATGGTTTGATATTGTACCTGAATGAACATTCTATAAAGACTGATTTTTGACGTTGTCTTCGTGTGAAGCTAATGATTGAACATACCTTCCTTGTGTACAAGGCGACTAAATGCTGTTTAATTTGTAAACAACGGTTGACATTGGATTATTGAGCACATGTGTTCATTTAATATTATATTTAAACGGTGGTTCATCATTGACACTATGTGTATACGATGGTTGGACATTGACGTTATGTGTACATTGTGGTTGGTTATTGACATTATTAGAAGACGTTGGTTGGACATTGATGCTATTTGTAAAGGTTGGTTTGACATTGACGTTATATGTAGACTATGGTTTGACATTGACGTTATGTGTAGACTGTGGTTGGACATTGACGTTATATGTAGACTATGGTTTGACATTGACATTATGTGTAGACAGTGGTTGGACATTGATGATATGTGTAAACGGTGATTGGATGATGAGGTTACATGTATGTGTACACTGTGGTTTGATATTAAACATTATGTGAAGAAATTGGTTGGACATTGACCTTATGTGTAGACGATGGTTGGACATTGTTGTTATGTGTAGACAGGTGTTGGACATTAACGTTATGTGTAGACAGTGGTTGGAAATTGACCTTATGTGTAGACGATGGTTGGTTATTGACGTTATTAGAAGACGTTGGTTGGACATTGACTTTATGTGTAGTCGGTGGTTGGTTATTGACGTTATGTTTAAAAGTTGGTTGGACATTGATGCTATATGTAAACGGTGACTGGACATTGACGTTACGTGTAAACGGTGGTTGGACATTGACATTATGTGGAGACGTTGGTTGGACATTGATGTTATGTGTAGACGATGGTTGGTTATTAACAGTATGTGTAGACGATGGTTGGGCATTGATTTTATGTGTATACAGTGGTTGGACATTAACGTTATGTGTAGACAGTGGATGGACATTAACGTTATGTGTAGTCGGTGGTTGGTTATTGACGTTATGTTTAAAAGGTGGTTCGATATTGATGCTATATGTAAACGGTGACTGGACATGGACGTTATGTGTAGACGGTGGTTGAACATTGATGCTATGCATAAACGGTGATTGGACATTGATGCCATGTGTAGACGGTGGTTGGATAATCAGGTTACATGTATGTGTACACTGTGGTTGGATATTGACATTATTTGCAGACGGTGGTTTGATATTGACATTATGTGTAAACGGTGACTGGACATTGACGTTATGTGTAAACGGTGGTTGGACATTGACATTATGTGAAGACGTTGGTTGGACATTGATGTTATGTGTAGACAGTGGTTGGTTATTAACGTTATGTGTAGACGATGGTTGGACATTGATTTTATGTGTAGACAGTGGTTGGACATTAACGTTATGTGTAGACAGTGGATGGACATTAACGTTGTGTGTAGTCGGTGGTTGGTTATTGACGTTATGTTTAAAAGGTGGTTGGACATTGATGCTATATGTAAACGGTGACTGGACATTGACGTTATGTGTAAACGGTGGTTGGACATTGACATTATGTGAAGACGTTGGTTGGACATTGATGTTATGTGTAGACANACAGTGGATGGACATTAACGTTGTGTGTAGTCGGTGGTTGGTTATTGACGTTATGTTTAAAAGGTGGTTCGATATTGATTCTATATGTAAACGGTGACTGGACTTGGACGTTATGTGTAGACGGTGGTTGAACATTGATGCTATGTATAAACGGTGATTGGACATTGATGCCATGTGTAGACGGTGGTTGGATAATGAGGTTACATGTATGTGTACACTGTGGTTGGATATTGACATTATTTGCAGACGGTGGTTTGATATTGACGTTATGTGTAAATGGTGGTTGGTTATTGACGTTATGTGTAAATGGTGGTTGGACATTAACGTTATGTGCAGACGATGGTTGGTTATTAACAGTATGTGTAGACGATGGTTGGACATTGATTTTATGTGTAGACAGTGGTTGGACATTAACGTTATGTGTAGTCGGTGGTTGGTTATTGACGTTATGTTTAAAAGGTGGTTCGATATTGATGCTATATGTAAACGGTGATTGGACATTGACGTTATGTGTAAACTGTGGTTGGACATTGATGCTATGTGTAAACGGTGATTGGACATTGATATTATGTGTAGACGGTGGTTGGACAAAATGTTTTTTGTAGACGGTGGTTGGATATTGACATTATGTGTTGACGGTGGTTGAACATTGCTGCTATGAGTGAACGGTGATTGAATATTGATGCTATGTGAAGACGTTTGTTGGATATTGTGGTCATGTGTAGACGGTGGGTGGACATTGACGTTATGTGTAGACGGTGGTTTGACATTGATGCTATGTGTAGACGATTGTTGGTTATTGACGTTATATGTAGACAGTGGTTTGACATTGACGTTATGTGTAGACGGAGGTTGGACATTGATGTTATGTGTAGACGGTGGTTGAACAATGACGTTATGTATAGACGGTGCTTGGGCATTGACGTTATGTGTAGACGGTGTTTGAACATTGGTGTAATGTGTGGACGGTGCTTGGACAGAATGATATGTGTTGACGTTGATTGGACGTTGATGCTATGTTTAAACGGTGACTGGACATTGATGTTGTGTTAATGCTATCATGCAGGTCGGGGATTGAGAAAAAAAAAACACCCGCTGTTACCAAATGCATGTATCGTAAGAGGCTACTAATGAGGGAACCCTGCGGAATGGGAGATTTTCTTTTTTGCCCACAACTTAGGGCCACAAAAGCGACCAAATTAAATATGATGCACCCATTGCATTTTTTGGGATCTCTGTATTTGTTTTGTTACTAACTAGCTTATATTTTGTTGTGCCCTGCTGACAAACACCTCACTTTTGGCTTTAATGGTAAGCGTTTGCCCAAGTGATGTAGGCAATGAGTTCTGTCCCCTCGCCGTCACATACCAAATTACTTAAAATGGTAGATGGTATCCCCTGCTTAACGTTCAGCTCTTTTGTAGGACGTTATTTTTTATATGTGTGAACGTAGGTTGGTCCATTGAAGATGTTTGGACGGGATCCTGTACGTTGTAGTTTATAGCTGTATAAAGGAGTTTAATCATCTTTCCGGTAAATACATCGAACTCGTCATTGAGTGTTTGGTTTCAGATCAATGGTCGTCTTCGTAATAATATACAGGCAGCAGTCCGCTAGCACGATTACCTTTATGAATACATGTATATAACACAAAGCTACAGGTTTGAACTACGTTTTCCAACAGTAGATATCCCCAGTGATGCTTACAGACAATCAATGCCGTCATATTTATTGTATTTAACACAACACTCCATTACATTTGTGGCTCTGAAACCTTCTAAGGGAACAATGCTGCTAGAGCAATCAAATTAACTTCACGATTAATATTTTAGCATACATTTTTTACGTAGTGGAACCAGGTGTGACGCCTCTAAAAAGAAAGTAAGGATATAGTGTATATATCGCGTGCTGAAGATCGATATGGAAGTAAAAGAGCTTGCGAAGCGTGACATTGCCAGCGGTTGTCACTTGCTGTCACGCTCAACTCTGGCTAGTGATGAAGTCAACAGGCCAAGCACCTAACATATATTTAGTAATCATTAACATCGCTCTTCTTAACCGCAGCAGTGTCTCTGGAAATTAGCAGACATTTTGACTTTATGAGCATTAACGTCAGCCTATAAGCTAGGTGTACACATCCACAGTAACAATGGTGAACAAATATTTGGTTTTTATTTTTATGTAGAAAATTTATGGAATGAATAATTAACAACGTTTATAACATTTCTGATAAAAACAATTTAACGTGTGTTTATATGGAGAGAGGGAACCGACATTGCAAAGTTTCCCCTAAGGATCAGTGCTGACGAGACATCGTTTTTTAACCCCCGGAATCAGTGTTAACACGACATCGAGTGCTTAACCTCCAGGACCAGATATCGCCTCTTACCTTTGGGACAAGCGTTAAGATACTGCCTGCTTACCACACCACCAAGTGTTCGTGTAATGTCCAGCTAGTAGCTTCTTGAAACAGTAAGTAAAGGTACAGTGAAGGTACAGTAAAGGTACTGAAGGTATATAACTTTATGTTTTTGAATTTTTAATAACACTGATACTGGGGTCTGTTCGTTTACGCGGACCTAACCGGTTTGTCTGTTTTTAAATGTAGTGTTTTCGGGTATAAATTATTGCAGACTTCAAATGATTAAGCAGGATTTGCCAGGCTTTGTAAAGGCTCAGCTGAAAGCAGCATCAGATTAGTAGGTCCGACATTATTTCACAAAAGAACAACTCTGCTCCAACCGGTCTAACTTTTTGGATCGCAATAAACGAAAGCGGCCCTGGTAACATACTAATGATATCAGGGGTGCAGAATTTTTGAAGTGAATTCGACTCACTGCCTTGATCGTAATTTATTGTAGTATGACCTCATTGAGCTCACCGAATGAGGCCTGACGAATATGGACAGGGTTGCAATAATATTGAGGTAGCCACAATTAGAAGCATTTTAACCTCTTATCTGGTTCTGATAATGAAAGAAACATGCTAGTAATATAGGTACTTTCGGCCTCTTGTTTCCTGCCAATTCCAAAACTCTAGCTGCCAAGTACTCGAGGACGGCGGTCAGTGAAAGAGACATAAAAAAATTATAATCATACGGAAGCTTGTTTATGAATTAATCGGTCAAATCGGTCGGACCACAGTTGTTCGTTTATTAAATAAGGTCGGACCTAGTAATCTGATGCTGCTTTCAGGCAAGCCTTGACAAAGCTTTGCAAGGCCTGAATAAAAACGTGCAGGTCCGCCAGGATATATACCCGAAATTGTTACATTTATAAACGGTCAAACCGTCATAAACGATCAGGCCCCAGGTCTATACATCGAATGTTTTATTTGAAAATGTTTTTGGTGAACGTTTTTTTCTTCCATTTTTGAATATTTATTATTTGTTTATTTTACTTTTTCGTTGACTTTTCTACACAACAGTAATTCTTAAATGGTTCAACTTCGTGCAACTTCCGTTTACTGTCCAAATATCATCCTTGATGTTGCAATGACGCAAAACTCCCAACAAAGCACGCACATTACCGCATTCATAAGTCCCAGGCTACGAGGAAGTACATTCCAATAAATCAGAAAAATAAACAAAAAAAGCAAACAGTTTTCAGGGCCTTTCTAGCTTGTTACCTTGGTAAAGTATAAATACACACACATGCGTCAAACACACTCTGGACTAGAACACTACACATTGTGTGTATGCTAATCATATTCTTAAACAATTTTCAAATTTCATTCTCTGGCTGATTTTTTTCATATTTATATCTTATCTAGACCACTTTACAAAAAGTATACAGACGTTTTAATATGAACTCAAGGGCGACAAATACAACAATCGTGTATAGCGAATTTGTCGTGATATATAAATGAAAATAACATAACCCAACACGGTCGTCAAGAGAAATATAGGATCACTGAATGATCTATATGGAACGACTCTCATGATATTTTCTACTTCATTTAAACGGGACTGTGAGCTAAAGTGAAAAAAAGATGGGATCAATCAATTTTATTTATTGCAATATCAACACAGTCTACCAACAATGAAGGGAAAGCTTCATCACCGTGACATCATAATATAATATGGAAGTCTGTGACCTCAATTCATTATAATGTGATGAGGTCACAGAAGGTCTTATTGCAATGTACATGTACTTAAACTCGTACACAAAATATGCATGTCATAGATTTACTCATTGAAAGTCAGTTAGCACGTGACCCATTTAAACGTCCAACTTTAAAAACAACAAACACAACACCATAGTTTTCTGGAACAGTTATCTAAGAAAATGTATGAATGCATATAGAGATATACATGTTAGCGCATTTGAAGAATTAAGCATCTTATATTTCATGATGTGGCATTTTCTTGTTTCTTTAAAGTTCAGTTTGTTCAGCTAATCATTTACTTTGTGTTTCATCTGTTCTTCTAATGAATTGTACATTAAACAGAACGTTAGAACGACATATTTCGTAAGAACTACCAACTATCCATAACAATACAACATGGTGTTTATTCAAATTCATCATGTAAATGCCTTACATTGTAACCAACATGGCGGCCTTTTCTTTTCGGGCGATGCTTTCGAGGTGTGGAGACATCCAGTGGGTCAAATTGACCACCCCGTGCTACATTCACCTGTCGTTCCTGTCAAACATGTCAGCATTAAAGTTGAACTAACTATTATCAATCCTGTATGCCTTCAGATGTAAGTAATTCTTATTTGCATTTTGATTTTTATGTTTATTTTACAAGCGACCAATGTACAAGAGAGACATATTCCTTACAAGTGACGAGGTCTCCATTTCTCTTACCGTGGACAGGGATATCCACCATTTTACCGGTGTGAGATTTTCTTTTCTCTTTCCCCTTGACAGGTGTATCCGCATTTTTACCGGTGTGAGATTTCCTTGTCTCACCCTAGGGTTGAGACGGGGGGATTCCCCTATTTCTAACAATGGCATGACGTCACTTTAACAATACAATGACGTCACGTCAACAATCCATCATTGTCACGTCGACCCTGAATTTAGCATGTAACGTTATCATTACATTGTTCATATGATACACAATGAAAGAACAGGTTAAGAGAAAAATAATCATTCACCCCCTTGTGGGTGAGATAGTGGAATCTCCACCCTCGGGGAAAGATTCTTTAGTTGCCAAACACTCGGCAAAGCCTCGTGTTGGGCAACTTAAGAAAGATTCTATTAATCTCACCCTAGGGTTGAGAAAGCTACACGTGCTCTTTGCATGTTCTCAACAATTGTATGACCGACTAACGCCATAATCGATTATTGGTTGAGTGTAAATCCGTAATTAAATCTTATGAAAAAATAAAGCTATTGTAGTTTGTAAGGACATCGGATCAGTTAAATACATATACCGCAATAACAAAGCGTAAGATGATTCTCCTTCAGTAGATTAATCCGACATTTCGCTTATTGATATTTATTTAGTAAAATACCGACTGCAATTGTAGACATTATTTGTAAATCTTGGCCCATATTCTCATGCTCAGGAATGGATTCTGTGCTCAAACCGACTTTCTTGTACCTTGATTTAATAAGGTGTAACAATCAATAGGTCAAGTGTGAACATTGAAAACTGTATTCAGTATTTAGTCTGACCAATTTTTACATATTTCTGACAAAATGTGATTTAATTTATTAATTTATCATAGGAACAAGAAATTTGAGTGTGAGTTTGAGCATGAAAACGGTTTCATGAATACAAGCCCTGTTATAAAGTATAGTGTGCAATACTTGCTGTCAGACAGTTTGTTAGTTTCGGTCGTAGTCTTGTTATTGACTCGGTGTGATTCTTGTCGTCAAAAAAATGTAATATCTGCTGTGAGATTTGCTGTTAGTTTTTTGAGATTCGATGCGAGACTTGTTTTTTTTAACTTGAGCTATTTGGTCTGTAACTTATGTGATTTGATAAGTGAGATGAGGTGCGAAGCTTGTGAGATTTAGTATGTGAAACGTGTGTGAGATTTAATGTGTAAAAAATATGTTAGACTTGTGACACTTACATTGTAGTTATGTGATAGTTGATGTTTAAGATCATTTTTCTGTATGCATGTACGTACTCTAGCTGCTTACATACATGTATTATGGTTAAACACCCTATCTTTAACCAATAGTCACCTGACAAATGAGTTTTACAAAACAATGTAAATACCAAGCCTACTGATGATGAAGTGAGGTGCTGTGACGTCCAGGTACTGTCACCGATCGTGTACCGGGTCGATAGTGAGGGACGCGTTCTATTCATACACAGCATAACAAATGGATTATAACGTTATCGCTGATGCGTTTTTACAAAAAGCATCTGGAATGTAAACAGTTCAAACAATAGCTATATATTGACGGAGACCTTTCGTCCATGGTCATTGTTATAACACGGAGCCATCTGAATGCCAATACGTGAACGCCCGTTCATTGGTATGTAAATATTAGACAAATGACCAATCGTTTCGTTCATTTTAATCAAATGGCGTTGTTGATAGAAAACATATTGTAATACACTCAAGCTTGAGCATGTAGTGGTCACTGATCCGGGCAGTTAGAGAACTAAAGGACCACACAATGGGAGGGTACGAGACAATGGTATGCGTACAAATAGACAAATCAGAAGGTTTGTCAATGCAAAATTATGGAACTCAATGTTACATATTTACACAAACACCGATTAATAATGTTTATCCACTCCAGGTTGAAATATTAATGCAAATACTATGTTATTTGATTATGACGCCATTTTATATATGTCATTGTGACGCTTAGCATTCCGCTTCAAACATAATAGTGAATAGCCCTGAATCAATCGCTCAAGTGACTAGACTGTTCCACCAATGACATGTCATACAAAACACATTCATTATCAGATAAAGTGTTTTTTATTCGATGATAAATGACTACAGAGCGTTTTAAAATGTTTATATTTGCTTCGTGATGGAATATGTACATGTATGATAGCAAGGACATGACATGTAAAAGTCCAACCGTTAAACGTTACATTCCCCTAATACGTTAATATATCAAAACCCTTCAGCTGTTAATGAAACGTTATCATTTAAATAGTTGATCCGTTTTAACAAGAGTTTACAGCGAATTTGATTTATCGAAACACATGTATATAAGACCGTTATATATTTTAAAAAACATTCAGTACTCATGGTCAATTTTGTTTCCTACACTGTATATCTCAAGGGAATGGCCTTTGAACATGTAATTCGAGCAAATTTTAGGTTCACTCTATCATACATTCAACAGAACCATTAAAAATTATCATTTTTTTTTATAATTATGTGGGAAAAAAATCAGAACAAAATACTGCTCGCATTTTTTTATTGATGTAAATGTGTGACGTTATCGCATAGTGCTCTGTGGCGTCCAACCTTACATATAAAAAAATAATGTGATGCTGTTATCAAACTTATTTTGTATATATTTTGTATTATTTCCATGGC